TCAGATGGAAAGGTCCCATAGTCCTTAAATTGCAGCAGCATAGCAGAAGGTAATGCTACTTCTTCTCTGCTGATAAAATCATTACTTTCTGAAGTTGAACCATCTGACACTGAGCCAGAACTGTTGCTATTCCAAAGGCTTCAGCTAATGTGATCTAGCTGAGCTGAGAGTCACTATATCTGGGAGCAGGGAGGTAGGTAATAGTCCCGTTGTACTGACTGACTTATTCTGGTCTGGGTGCCACCATTTAAGAATGACATGGATAGGGGCAGGTAGGTGGTGCAGTGGATAAAGCACTGGTCTGAAGTCAGGAGGACCTGAGTTCAAATCCGGCCTCAGACCAAACACTTGTCATTTTACTAGCCGTGTGACAAATCACAACCCCAATTGCTGAAAAAAAAAAAAAAAGGATGACAAGGATAAGCTAAAGAGTGTTCAGAGGAGGTTGACCAGGATGATGAAAGTCAATTGTATTACAAGGTGATCATGATAAGAACAAAGAAAGTCGAGGTGTTATGAAAAAAAATTAATTACAGTAGACTTCAAGGCAGTGTCGTACAGTTGAAAGAAAACTGCATCTGTGGTCAGAGGACCTGATTTCAATTCCCATCCTGACACTTACTGTTTGTGTGACCCCATCGGGTAAGCCAACTAACTTCTCAACCTCACTTTCTTCATCTGTTGAAAACAAAGTACCTTGGCTAGATGACCTCCAAATTAACTTTTAGCTTGAAATCAATCATCCAAGTTGCTTAAAATCATACTCAAGACAAAGGATAAAAATTTTTGCTTTTAAAAAGGTAGAACCCAAGTGAAATAACAAGCAATTTGAAGGTAAGAAATCACTTTCAACTAGAGGAATAATGGAAGGTTTAATGGTAAAGTTTATAGGATCATAGATCTGGAAAGGGACCTCATTGAGTCCAACCCCCTTATTTTATAGATAAGGAAACTGAGGCCCAGAAATGTTAAATGACTTGACTGAAGTGACAGAGCTAATAATAGCTAATATTTATATAGTATTTTAATGTTTGTAGATCACTTTACCTAAGTTATCTCCTTTGATCTTAACAACAACCCTGCGGGTTTTGTTGTTCAGTCATTTCAGTCGTGCCCAACTCTTCATGACCCTATTTGGGGTTTTCTTGGCAAAGATATTGGAGTGGTTTGCATATTTTACAGATGAGGAAACTGAGGCAAATAGAGTTAAGTGACTTGCCCGGGGTCACAAAGCTTAGTAAGTTTCTGAGGCTGGATTTGAACTCAGGTCTTCCTGACTCCAGTCCCAGCAATCTATCCACTGTGCCACCTAACTGCCTCTAATCCTGTGGGAGGTAGTTACCATTATTATCCTCATTTTGTAGATGAAGAAATTGAGGCTGAGAGAGTGAGTTGCTCAGGGTCACATGGACAGTAAGTGTCAGAAGCAGTATGCATATCCAGGTTTTGAAGATTCCATGTCCCACACAATGTTCACTATAACAGGTTACTTCTAAAATTTGTGTTGTCAGAAGCTGGACCTTGAAGAAATAGAAAGACTTCAGTATATGGCAATGAGAAAGCAGTTCATTCCAGGAATAAGGACTGATTGAGATTCAGCAAAAGCATGAATACAGAAGAGAGTAGGATGAGACGGGGTGAAGTCCAATGTGGCTGGTCTACAGAGCACATTCAGGGGAAGAAATGACTGGAAAGATTGACCAGAGCCAGATTGTGGAGACTTTGATCATCAATTTGGTTGACAATGAAGACCTGCTGGGAATTTTCAAGTTTGTAATCAGGGTGGTCCTTAAAATGGGAAATACATAGGGAGCTTAAAATGACTTGAGGGATAGATCAGAGAAGATGATGAGTTCAGTTCTGGTCCAACTGAGTTTGAGGCACTGATGGGAAAATCTAGGCAGAAATTTCTAGTAGCAGCTGGAAATATGGAAGTTGAACTCTGGGAAGGAAATCTGCATGTGAGATAGACATCTGCATAAACTGATAATTAAACTGAAACCATGGGAGTAGATAGGATTAATGAGGGACAATGTATAGAGACAGATAAAGGAAGAGGACTGACCTCAGGGAACACCTTTGCTTAACAAGTGGATGATGAAGAGACAGTGAAGAAGCAGACTGAAGCAAGAGGAGAATCATAGGGGGCAGCTAGGTGGCATAGTGGATAGAGTACCTGCCCTGGAGTCAGGAGGACCAGAGTTCAAATCTGGTCTCAGACCAGACACTAGACATTTACTGGCTGTGTGACCCTGGGCAAGTCACTTAACCCCAATAGTTTTGCCAAAAAAAAAAAAAATGAAGAAGAGGAAGGGAAAAAAAGAGAATTACAAAAATAGATCTCATAGAAGCAGTGGGGAGGTAAGTGGCACCAAAGGGCATGAGTTGACATCCCAGCTCTGCTACTTTCTGGCTGAGTGACCTTGGTTAAATAATTTGAACTCTCTGGGACTTATTTTCCCGACTTATAGATTAGGACATTGGACTAAATGATTTTATAATTCTCAGTTGAGAGGAGGAGAGGGTGATCAATAGCGCCAAACTACTGCAGATTATAAGAAATTCAGAAATGGGTGGGTGGTAAAGAAATGAATAGAGACAACTTTAGAAATTAGACATTTTAGAAGACAGAGAGCAAATGAGAGTGAGAATATATCAGATCAAGGTCATGTGTCCTAGAATAGGGAAAGCTAAGCATGTTTGTAGTCCGAGGCAAATGAGGCAGTAGAGAGTGGGAAACTGGCTCCATCTTAGAGTTGGTCTTTAGAGTATTCTGCGAAATGAACTTTTCTCTGCCTACCATACTCCATATTCCATGCAAACATCTTTCCCTAGCAATCCTGAGCATTGCTGGGACATGTGATATAAACCTCAGTCCTTTGATTCAGAAGCCAGTGCTGTACCCACCTTCCTTCCTCCTCTCTTTAATTCCTTCCTTCTTCCCTCCCTCCTCAGTCTTTGTTTAGATGTGCTGTCCTGGTTTCCTTCCTTGTCAACACACCAGTGGTATTATGTTTGACTCTTTGGAGTTTCCTGTCCTGTCTTTGCCACACCTGTAGACAGGTGTTGGCATGAGGAATTTCAGGAAACATCCTGATTATAAAGTCTGGCACCCCTATATTGAGAACACTGAAACCTGAGGATGAGACATGGAATGGCTTGAGACAAGTAGGTTCTAACATTATTTTTTGTTTCTGACTTAGTTCAGACCCAGAATGGGAAAGTTGTTTTCCTTTTGTAGAGTGAACAGTATTTAGCTTTGAGGCTTCTGATTATGCAAAATGCATCTAGTCACTTGATGAACTGATTCTAGGAGTATCATGTAATTTCTTGCTTAGGAAACTGTGTAGTATAAATGCAATTATTCATGAGAGAAAAGAACAAATCACTATTTAATCTTCTTGTCTTTCTATTATTGCTCATCCTCAACTTCAAAAGAGAAGCTGGCTAAGGGAAAATATTCAGACATGGAATATAAATATTCTTACTTATATCTTAAAGGGACATTGATTAGGTTTTTTCATTACATGCATTATTATTATCAACAATATTCTCATCTGTATGTATTATAAATAGTATATGACATAAGGAGCAAGTTGTAAGTTACCTCTCATGTACTATAGAGTATTAGTTTAGAATTTAGTACATGGTGTAGTGGAAGGTATAGAAGGACTAAATCAGAAGCCCTGGGTTTGAATCCCATCTTTGCTTCTAATGACTTGTGTGACCCTGGATAAGTCTCTGCATCTCAAGGATGCTGGCCAAAAAGATTTTTAAAGTTCCTTCCAGCTGTAAATCCTATGAACTTATGTTTGAACTGATATTTGTCTTTTAAGCAAAGAAAGATAATTATTCTATATTACTATCAGCATAGAGATGACTTCTCATGTTAAGAATTACCTGGTTTTAAAATTAGAATTCAGTGGATAAGGCATCTCTGTTTATGCAGAGAGGGCTGATGTGTCTCCTAGAATTGCTCTTATTCTACGAGTCAGAAAAGATTAAAGAAATGTCACATATATTCTAAGATAACTGTAGACTTTTGGAAACAAAAACATGCAGCAAGCAATACATGATTTAACTTTTTTTGTCTTCTTTTCATTACTTCAGACTTCCAATCTTTTTACTCACTATAGTAGTCTTGTGGGAAGCTCACTGTAATTTCAGGGGTTGGTTGTTGTTGCTGTTTTGAGAGAGGAAGATTTTCACTGGCCAACTGCATGTGTGAAAAGTTATTTATTCCACATCTTGTGTCATTAAATAGGTACATGATTAGCTTTACTGTCAGTATAAGAGTGCAGAGCTTTACTGCATATCATCCCCAATATAGTAATTCTGGTTTACCTGAGTCCAATATCAAGTTTTTTTTTGTTTGTTTTTTGTTTTTGTTTATAAACAAGAAGTTAAATTAACAAGCATTTATTGAGAATCTACTATTTTCACTATAGGTTTTGAACAATTATTCTATAATCTGTCCAGTGTGTATATTTCCACCTTTGAATACTTCTTTACAATACTGTATACTGACTATACTGTTTCTAATATTGCTCAAAATCAAGTCTTACTGGCTCATTTGAAAACATTGTTCTGATAACATTTGTGCTTGCTAGGTTATTTGCCACCTGGACAATAATTTTCCTCTGAAAATTTCTGTGGGAAAATCCCCACTGAATCAAAATAGGAGAAATGACTCTTGCTAATGAAATAAGTTGAAACTAAAATTATGTTTTTCCTCCATTAATCTATGGGGTGTGACAGCAATCTAAATTGGTGCCACTGGAGAGAGGCCTAAAGACAGGAGAATCCGTAAGTAGGCAATGAGTCGGTTTGTGCCTAGGGAAAAAAATACACACACACACACACACACACACACACACTTTTTCTGCTATTGATCCCCCTAAAGAAAATACACCCAACATTACACACAAGGGATTGTTGATATAGAAGACATTAAACCATAGCCAAAGAAATAATCTCATTTCAGTCTCTATCTTTCCTAGTGTTTGAGTGGATCCCTCAAATACTTTCAAACAAGACTCAAACCAACACTGTATTGCAGCACTTGACTAAGAATTTCATAGACGGAAAGAACCATACCAACTCCACCCGAGCCTTGAAATTTCCTGATGGGACAAGTGCCACGTGGTATATTCTCACCATCTTTAGTATATATGGCATTATATTCTTTTTTTTGTTGGCCAGCAATATCCTCCAGAATGAAAAGCACTTGGAAGATATTTATTATCCAGATCTCACAATCAAGCTAAAAAAAGAAAGCTCCAAGATAAAAGCACCAAAAATAGCTCATTAAGTATGAATTTGTGAAGTCCTGAAATAAATCACAGCTATGAGTTGAGGGATAAAGCATGTTTAATTGAGATAACAGGGTAGTAAACCTGCCACCCTGGGAGATGTCACATGGATGCAAAGCACAATGGATTTCCCAACTCCAAGACCCATGCAAAAGCTTCTTATTCCTTTAAGAGGAGAGGGGGGAGGAGGCAGTATGAGGTAGCAAAGCCTGGTCAGGAGACCCCAGTGGCCCTTAGCAATCCAGGCAAGAAAAACCACTTCATTCTGGCTGTTTTACCCTTCAAGCCATGAATCCCAATGAAAGGGGGCAAGAAAGAAGAAGCTGAGATCCAGCTTAAGCTAGGTTCCTTTACAAGGTAAAATCTCAGGGAGGGGGGGGATTTAAGGTGTGGTTCAGCTCAACCTAATCAAGAATAAATATATCTTAAGGATATTTGTATATGTAAGGGCATATATAGAATGTAAGGACATTCCTGAAATCCTGACATTACTAAGATCATTAAGGGAGTGGCAAGTAACATTTAGTATTAACAATTTCCTGTTATTAACAATTATATTATCAATTTTCTGTCATTCCCCCCTCTGAATCTGAGAAGGCAGAGTCTTCTCACTGAATCACTAACTGCTATGACACTCAATAATATGGGGAAAGGAGAGAGAGAGATTGATCAACACATTGACAAAAACTTGGTGGAGGCAGTTTTCAACAAGCAAGCAGAACAGAATACAGAACAGAGGAACATAATAAAAAAAGGTAAGGGTCCATTTCATCAGAAGCAAAAAGAGAAGGGTAACTCACTCCCATTTGTCTACTTCATCAGTCCATCATATCTCAGGGCTTGGACATCTCATAAAGTTATCTGGTTTCTGACATCTCCTAATTCAATCCTCTTGTTTAGGTGGTGTCTCAGATCAGCTTCTTAGAAGATTTGCTTCTCCAGTTCAGGTCACCTTCAGATATTCCCTTTTCTGTTAAAATTTATTACAGAATAGATCTTAATCCAATTCAAGTTTGCTTTGTCAATAACTAGGTCAGGTATTAAAAGCTAGCTCAAATCTTGTAGATCTGATAAGAACATCAAATTAGAAAATTCTAGACCAGAAAATTTACATTTTTGCATACTCTTTGCTACTCCTATCCATATCTAAGCTATATATTCAGACACTACCAACAACAAACTGAAAGGAAAATCTAAAAAGAATCTATGAGAATCTGATTTGTAGAATTTGCCCTTTTAGTTACAAATATGATATATGCCAATGTAGTTATGTAGGCTAAGGCTAAAAGATGCCTTTTAAATTGGCATAGACTCCACCATCATTAATTTCTGTTGTTCATCTATTTTATTCAGCACTTCAAATTCAAATTCCAGAAAGGGAAGGAACTTCAATTTATCACCTATATTCACCTTGTGATGTGGGTTAACAAATTGTCATGTTGATATACTTGGAATATTCAAATACAAACTAAAAAGTTAGAAAATTCTGAACCTAATTCTTATATATGACACACATAATTATTTAATTTTGTTAATGATAAATCCAATGTGCTTTGCACTCTTGGGTCATACCCTAGGGTGGCAGGTTTGCTACCGTGTGATCTCAATTAAAGATGCTTTATTCCTCAACTCATGGCTTTGATTTATTTCAGAACTTGATAATAGTGATGTTCTGGAGCAAATCCAGGTGAGCCTGGGACCAAAGCAGGGAAACAACAGCTTAGGGAAACAACCCTAAACTGAAAGATTACCAAGAAGTCAGAGACAAGTATTATTTAGCACACTCCAATGAGTGCTGAACCTGAATGTTGGTCATTTCTGGGAAAATGTGACCTCAAGCCAAGGGATTGTTGATTTGCAATGATTAAACAAACATTGGGGAATGGAAGTACGTGTGGGGTTGCTTTGTCCTACACTCCATGATGGCTGGCTGAAGTAGGGGGAACACTGTTTCAAAGATGTGTCAGAGAGCCAGGAGAAGTGACCTTCTCAATGTACTTTTAAAAAGCCCTCTTTGGTGGGCAGCTAGGTGGTGCAGTGGATAGAGCACCAGCCCTGGATTCAGGAGTACCTGAGTACAAATCTAGCCTTAGACACATAACACTTACTAGCTGTGAGACCCTGGGCAAGTCACTTCACCTCATTGCCTAGCCAAAAAAAACAAAAAAAACAAAAAAAACAACAACCCTCTCTGTCTCTTTTCTTTTGAGTCAATGTGTGACAAGTAGCTTTCCCTACCTGGGCTTCCCATGAGGGGTGGAAAATGAACTACCCTTCCTCAACTCCAGCAGAAATAGTGAACTTGAAATCACATGGCAGATGCCACTTCTGCTACCTTAGACAAACCTAACCTGGACTTCTGACCCCTGGATGCTTCTTTTGTTTTATATTCTTTCCCTTGCAATTGAGCAGTGCTTTTGAGATGCAGGCAACCCTGGAGACAATATTTGTAGTTTGAGAGGCCCAAAGATCCAAGGTCCCTCAGTAAGAACTGACTGGCATCGGGAGAATTTCTGCATCAGAGAGGATGAGCATGGACAAGGGGAAGCGTTCCACTCCTGTCTAAGCTTACCAGAAGGCATAGACCTTGAAGGATTGTTCAGACAGTACAGAGTCAAGATGAAGTGTAAGTTGTTTATTCAGCAGTCCCACAAACTGCATCATGTTTCGATCTCAAGATGTTAAATCTCAACCTCCTGGAAGAGTATGAGAGAAGTTAGAAGCTTGTTAACTGTTTTGTCAATGTGTACCTGGAAGTCTTTGTGTTTTTAGCCTTTCTTGTGTAGAGAAAATAAAACAGTTGTCCTATACTGGATCTATATTGTATATTGTGTACCTTTCTATACCTCCTCCCTCACCCTACTCCCAGGAGACATTAGACATAAACCAAATTTAAGCTTTAAGAAATTTTCATCAGAGCTTTGAGGTAGAGGTGGACGTAAAAAGTAAAAGAGTGTAAGAAAAATGCCTAGCTTCTCTATGTAGAGAGACCCAGGACTGGGGCGGGGGAGGGGGGAGATAGGAGGTATCCAGGGCTGAGAGGATCCTCTGAGGGGATAGAAGGATAAGCACCCTAGTTGCCTAGTACCAGGAGCGACTCTTCTTATTTCATTTGTATAGGAAACTTCTGAATAAGGAAACTCCCTCTCCCCTTGCTGTTTGGCACCTTCCCCTCAACTTGGAGTCAGAGAGTTATCTGTGCCATAGCACTGAGTCAGTATGCTTAGCCATTCTTGGTGATATCATAAATATTAGATGACAACTACTTGAAATAGGGAGGGAAGGGGATAAGAACTTGATCCTCCTTTGCTCAACTTTAGGCAAAACAACACGTTTTGAAAAAATAGATAGCAAAGAGTCATACATGGATGGACATGGTAGCTTTCTATTGTTAATCAGATTGAACCTCACTGATTCAAAACTGAGTTATCCATTTGAAGGTAGGGACTAGCTCTGGACCTCAGATCTAATACAGAACTACCCTCAGGAGATGCTAAAGAATATGTTGAAGAGACCCTAGGAAGAAAGATAATAATTGCACATTACCTGACTAGGCTCAAAGTAAGTGGGTATGGCCGAAGGATATACTGAAGGGTCTCTCCTTTTTGCTTGATTTCCCTTGGTTATCTTCCTAGCAGGTAGGAAGGCAGTGCTGATTTTTATTTTCCCTTTGGCCCTTCTGATGGATGAAGAAAAAAGCAGTAACGGCAATGCTGTCTATCTTGCTCTCTCAATCTATGTGTGGCTTTCTCTTACTTCTTGGATCTCGTAGGATCTGGAAAGGCCTTAGGTCAAAATAACCCAGTTTCATCCTATTTATAGGCATTGTGGGGAAAACAATCTATTACTTATTAATATTACTTGAACCTAACTTTATGTGGCTGGAAATTATCTAACCCAAGGCTTACTACAGAGGTCATGCTGACCTCAGAAACCCTCTAGGGAAGCCAGAGACCACTGTAAGGAATACTTAGATCTTATCCAAGTATTGTTTTGTGTCTGCCCACCAAGATCTTGGGTCCACCCAAAGAGCTTATGTTTTGGGTTCCCCAATAGCTTGTGTTTTGGCTTTGCCCAAATTTTATTGAATGTTTATACCTACCTGCTCATATACATCTCAAGCAACCTTACCTGAATGTTACCCTTTTCTGGAAACTGCCTAACCACTACTTGCTGGCCACCCAGCTGTCTGTCCTTGGTATCTATATAATGTAACCTCACAGAGACTTGAGAGGGGAGACACACCTTTTTCCTGCTCTCTCTCTTTGGCCAAATGACAATAAAATTCTTTTTTCAGGTTTTGTGGTTTGTTCTTGACTGACAGAATACTCATGTCTCTAAGGTTACCATTATGTCCTCAATATATAGAAGTCATTTACAGTAAATTTGGTCATTTGTATTGAGCTGGAAATTACTCCCTCCCCCAGTGTCATAAAAAGTAACCACTGCACCCTTAAAGCTAAGTAAAAGGTATGAGGCTCTTCCCAAAGAGAAGAAAGCTTGACCTTATTAGGAGGAAGTAGTTCTTTGTATTCTAAGGAATGATGTTGTGGATGTACAGGTGCTCTCAGGTGAGTTATCACCAGTAAGGGTCAGAGGAAGAAGAGACATTAGTGGTTGTTAGTGATTTTCTGTTAAGCAATACTAAGGCAATTATATGTTGCCTTCAGAACAGTACATAAGTTTGCCTTGTTGATAAGACATGTATCAAAGACATAATAAAGAACCTCCTTTGCAGGACTTGTCAACCAGATGACTATAATCTAATTATGATGATTTAATCGGTCATAAATTACACTCCAGGAAATATCTAGAAAGCAGTGTTAAAGATTAACAGAAATCTTGGGCAGCTATTTGTGTTAGCAAAAAAGAAAAAAAGAAAAGAAACAAAAAGGATATCCATTGATTATGGAAAGGCTGAACAAAAATTATGAAATATAACATGGAAACTGTTTATACCATAAGAAGTGATGAATGTGAGGAATTCAGAGAAATAAGGAAAAACATAAATGAGGTTATTCAGGTTGGGAGTTAAAACTCAACATGAGTAAGATGATGATAAGAGATCATCCTTTAGGAGTTCAGGTCACTAGGTATGACCAAATAGTACTGTGAGGTTTCAAAAGAAATAGATGATGTTATTGCTAAATCACTGTCAGTGATGTCTGAAACAAACTGTTGAGTATGGGAGAGATAACATAGAATTGGAGAAGGGCAAAAGTCATGATTTTTTTTAAAAAAAGGAGAGGATAAAGGAGAAGTCTGAAAATTATATGACAAAGAGCTTAACTTTGACTCCTGATGAAATTCTACAATGTACTATTAGAGGAGTGATCATTGAATGTCTAGAAAATGAAGCAGTGATAACAAAGCACCAGCTTTACTTCATCAGCTCAATGTTTGACTAAGCACGCTTGCTTCAATTGACATAATTATACTGGTAAGGAGATTAGGTTCAGAACTAGTTGAGTGATTTTTTTTTTGTTTAGTCATTTTTTCAGTTATGTCTCACTCTTTATGATCCCATTTTGGGGTTTTCTTGGTAAAGATACTAGAGTGGTTCGCCATTTCCTTCTCCAGCTCATTTTACAGATGAAAAAACTAAGGTAAACAGGGTTAAGTGACTTGCCCATGGTCACACAGCTACTATGTATCTGAGGCTGGATGAATCTACCTGACTCTAGGCTCAGCACTCTAGCCACTTCACTATTTAGCCACTCCAGTAGTTAAGTAGTGCAGTATTTAAGTTTGCTTTGAGTACGGGGTATAGGAAGGGGAGTAATATAAATAAGAACAAAAAGAGACACTGCTGTCTTCTTCTTCCTTTGTGGTGGCGAAATGATTATACTTTGCTTTTCAATTCCTCTTTTAAGATGTCATTCATAAGAATCATTTTGAGAGCATTGTGAGGAGGCAATTCCTCTACTATTTATTGTAGAGATCCCTAAATGCTAAGCAAAACGCTTTTGCTTAGGAAAATTTAGTACCCAGTAAAGATTACCCTGGAACCTACCTGATATGAATATTTATTTTATGTCTTTTGTTTCCATATCGGAGTCATTTTGGATATGGCACCCCACCACATCCTAAACAGGTAGGTTTTTCTTTTCTTTTTAGGAGTCACATGTATAGATATGAATTTATGCATAAGATTATTTTGAGAGTGATATGAAGGATAAAGAGGAGCAGTGAGTAGAAACAAGGAAATTTACTAGGGAATTACAACAACAATAGAAGTGGGGTGGCAATGATGGCCTGCACTGAGTTTGTGGCAGGGGGAGCAGATAGGAAAGTCTGGATGTGAGAGATGTTAGAGGCTGCACGGACAGAACATGGTAACTAAGTGATTAAGAGAGATAATGATGCCTAAGTTTCAAACAAGGCAGTCAGGGTAAATAGTAGTACCATAGGCCTCCTCCATAATAAACTTAAGAGAAGCAGGGATTTGGAAGATAAGTTTGGTTTTGGACATGTTGAATTTAAAATGCTTAGGGGATATCCAAGTGTGGAGATATTCTATTGAAACTCTGAAAAAAATGGTATATGATTCTTGGAAATGGCCCAGAAGTAATAAAGGCCATTATGAGGTCATCATAACCCCACACTTGCCAAGTCTCTGCAGATGTAGCCACGCAAGCTTCCTCAAACACTTAAGAAACCACCATGCTTCGCTTTGCAAATCCTCTCTTAAGACATGTCATTCACAGGAATCGTTTTGACAGCATTGTGAGGAGGCAGTGTCTCCATTACATAAAAACTCTAAGAAGCCTACAATCTGATGGATTTAAAACCATCTTTTTAGGGGAAACAGATATCCCTGAACATCTTGTCACAGGAGAAAGCCTGGATGATGAAAATTTCATACATAACCCAACATGGAGTGTTGTACATGCTGGAAGCAGTCTAGGATGGGTTCCTTGGAAATACCGAATGTTCCTGAGAGATGAGCTATGTAACAGACAGGAAGAGGGTCTCTTCCTTGAATTCTGCAGTGTGGTGAAAAAGGTCTATGGAAAATGTGTCATCGTGGTCAGAGACAAAAAACTGATAAATGAAAGGATGCAGAATGAAGTAAGAGAGGACAAAGAAGTTCACCCTTACACTTCATCAGTTATTAATTTAACCAGCATTTCATGTTGTTCTGAGATAGCCAGAGCTAATGGCCATGAGCTTCTTCCTCTTCCATCCCCTTACAATTACCTAAATCCTTTGGATGCTGCCTGGTCTTCTCTGAAATGGTTTATCATCAACAACAGGAAGGAATTTTGTTTGTGGTCCATTGACAACATCTATTCTTACCAGTATATACTTTTCAGTGACTTGATTGGGAAAGGAATTGAGAGGGTGACCCCAATCAAATGGAAAACAGTCATCAACAAAGTTCGAAGATGGGAAAACTACTATCTAGGTAAATGCTCCTGAAGGAAATCTCCCCAGCAAGCAGGTGCACTCCTCTACTGCAAGGACATTCTTTAACAACTAGATTCTTTGCTCTCTTTTTACCTTCTACAATGCCCTGGGCCATTTGGGCACAAACCTCACATTCTAATAGACTGCTAATGCTGGTAGAGCTCTCTGAGCTTGGTGGTGGCATCATCACAAACATATCATTAAATCAATTCAATACTTCAACAAGAGAGGAAAAAAGGAATGAGAATGTTTGGGTGGCTGACTACTGTAACTTGAAATCTCTACAATCAGCAAGTGTGGTAAGTTCACTGGGGTAAAGAAGAAATAAACTCACATACAGTCAACTTTTACTAGTTTCTTTCTTCTTTTTCTTTCTTCTCTTTCTTTCTTTCTTCCTTTTCTTTATCTATTTCTTTCTTCTTTCTCCACATAGAATATCAAATTTTAATCTCTGACACATTTTTGTTTTAAGACCAGCCTTAACCCCAAATCACCCTTGTTGCAGACCAAGTCTTACTTGGTCAGTGTTTGGGCCTTGACTGGCTCAGAATGAATGTAAATAACAATTGTTTCTTTTTTGGCCAGAAACCCTGAGGGTCTTCCCCTCCCAGATCTATTTTTTTTTTAAAGAGGCCATTCTTTGCCTTATTTTTTTCTTTTTTCTTTTAATTAATTAATTTATTTCTAGTTTTCAACATTCACTTCCATAACATTTAGAGTTTTAAATTTTCTCCCCCTCCCACTTCTCTCCCCCCACCCGACAGTATACAATCTTGATATAGGCTCTATACATACATTCAATGTTAAACATATTTTCCCATTAGTCATGATGTAAAGAACAATTAGAACTAATGGGAGGAACCACGAGAATGAAGCAATAAAACAAAAAAATAAAGAAAGAGAGAATAAATAGAATGCTTCCATCTGCATTCAGACTCCATATTTCTTTCTCTGGGTATTTTAAGCCTTAATCACTGAATGGGTGCTGCCTCAGTCAAACTGAGACCTGGTAAAGACCTTAGCTTAAAAAGGCCAAGGACCTCCACTACATGCTGGGCCATCTTCAGTTGCCCTGATCCATATCTAGCCATTGGACCCAGATGGCTCCCAAGGAGAAAGTGAGGCTGGTGACTTTGCACAGCCCTCCCTCACTTAAACCCAATTGACTTGCATATCATGGCATCACCTCCCTGATGTCATGGTTCTCTTTGAGAATTAAGGGCAAACAGCAACTATTCAGTCAGCATAGAGACAACTAAGAATTCTGGTGTAAATTCAGTTATGTGAAAGGTTAGCACAGAGGATAATTTGCCCAGGTGCTATTGTACTCTAAGAAGGGGTAGTCCAAACACCACAAATTCTGGCCCTAGCCTTTAGGGAAAGGCTAATCAATCAATCAAATCCTAACCCACAACCCATGGGAGAGAGGATTGAGGGGCATGACTGTGGGGCGAACATAGGTTAATTTTACTTTTGTCCTTTTAGAAAACACAAATTAATCAGCTGAGAAGTATCTAAAAGGGCAACCAGGATCAATCAACTGGTCAATCAATCAATAATTATATAATTAATTTATGAGGGTAAAGGTGTTTGAAGAGCAGTGAAGTGGTACAGTAGATAGGATGCTGGGCCTGGAGTCAGGAAGACTTCTTCCTGAGTTCAAATATGGCCTTAGACACTTACTAGCTGTGTGACCCTGGGCAACTCACTTTACTCTATTTATCTCACAGACAGGTTTATGACCTTGGAGTTAAGAATTTAAGTTTTCCCTCCTGCAGATGGCATGAAAGACAGCAGAAATTCTGATAAGCAGAAGAGAGAAGGTAGAACATTCTGGTATGGGGGACTGCCAGCACAAAGGCATGCTGTATCACTACCTAGAGATGGAACATCACGTATGAGGAAAGGCAAATAGGACAGTATGGCTGGACCAGAACATTCATGGAGGGCTGGACCAGAACATTCAGCATCAGTTCATGCAAGTGTTTCCAGGTTTTTCTGAAGTCCAACTGCTCACCATTTCTTATGGAACATTAGTATCCCATTATATTCATCTCCCACAACTTTTTCAACCATTCCCCACAATGTAGAAGGTAAAAAACATTGTAAAGGCAGAAGGTGCTAGTTATGAGGGGGTTTAAGTGACAAACCTGGGAGTTTATATTTGATCCCAGAGAAAATAGGAAGCCATTGGAGTTTACTGAGTAGGAGAGTAACATGATCACTGCACCTGTGTTTTAGAAAAATGACTTTAGCAGCTGTGTGGAGAATGGATTGGAATGATAATCTCCATACTTTGAGGCAGGGAGTCCAATTAGGAGGTGATTGCAGTAATGCAGGCCAGAGATTATTAGAGCATGAACTAGAGAAGTGTGTGAAGAGAGTGAATGGGAAATATACAAAAGATGTGGAGAAAAAATGACAAGATTTGGCATTATGAGTAAGATATATGGGATGAGGGTGAAAAATCAAGGATGAAACTGAAGTTGTACTCCTGGGTAACTGAACGGATAGTGGTGGTCTCAAAAGTAATAGAGAAATTTAGAAGAGTAGATTGGGGCGGGGAGGTGAAGACAATGAGTTCTATTTTAGATGTGTTGAGTCAGAGATGTCTGTGCGACATCTGGTTAGAAATGTCCAAAAGACAGTGATGCAAGATTAGAGTTTAGAGGAGACTAAGGTCTCTTGAACTTCTAGAAGTCATCTGTATAGAGAAAATAATTAAATCTATGCCAGCTCATGTGATTACCAAGGGGACAGTATAGAAAGAAAGAAAGAAAGAAAGAAAGAAAGAAAGAAAGAAAGAAAGAAGGGACTAAGAGGACTGGAGGGTATATACCTGAAATTAGAAGGCATATCAGGGTGAAGATCTAGCAAAGGAGACTTAAGTATTCCGAAAGGTAGAAGAATGAAGAGAGAGAAGTGTCACAAAAACCCAGAGATTAGAGAGAATTCAAAAGAAGGTAGTCAGCAGTGTCAAATGGGACAGAGAACAAGAAGGATAAAGACCAAGAAATGGCCATCAGATTTGTCACATAAGAGATCATTGGTAATGGTGAGAAGAGAAATTTCGATGGAATGGTGTCAGAATATATATGGCAGAGGGTCAACCAGAGCAGACAAGAAAGTAGATGCAATATTAGACTGGATTCAGAGGCATATCATTTAGGATGATGGTGGCGATAATCCTGCCCTGTTCAATCCTGATTAGACAACATCTAGAATATTGTGTTCAATTCTGGGTGCCACATTTCAGAAAGGACAAATTGATCAACTAGCAAGTATCTAAAATGGCACCCAGGATCAATCAAATAGTCAATCAACAATTACGTGTTAATCATCTACTATGTGCCTGTCACTGTCCTACAAATACTAGGGATACAAAGACAAAAAAGTGAAAAAAAATTATGGCTTTCACAGACCTTATATTCTATAAAAGGAGACTCTGTGTGTGTGTGTGTGTGTGTGTGAGTGTGAGTGTGTGAGATGCGCGTGCGCAAACTTGCATGTGCTTGGGTGTGCATGTGTGCTCCGAATGAATACAAAGTATAAGGTAAGTTACTCACAAGGTAGTTAGGGAAGGAGGTAACTAACAGTTGTATTGGTAAAGGATTCCTGTAAAGGTGGTCTTTGAACTGCAGCTTGAAGGGAGGCATTTTATGAGGTGGAGGTGAGGAGGAAGTGCAGTCCAGCAATGGGGATGGTTGGTGCAAAGGCCCAGATGGTTTGAGGCTTTGAGTTCTTGCCATGTAAGGATCAGTCAAAGGCAATGGTGATATTTTGCCTAAGGAAGACTAGGGGCTGGGGGCAAGGGGTTGGGGAATGAGAAATGTCTAAGTAATTGAAAAACTATCAAGTAGTATCAGGATTAAACTTGCCCTGCTTGGATGCAAAGATAAAAAAACTAGGTTTGATCAGTTGTAAAGACATGAATTTAGGTTTGATATAAGGGAAAATTTCCTAAGTTATAGCTATCCAAAGATGGAATGGCCTGCCTGAAGAGTAAGTTTTTCTCCACTGCAGGCATTATGCAATGATGCTCTTGTTGGCCATGTTTTTCCTTTTTTTTGTTTTTAGGCAATTCGGTTAAGTGACTTGCCCAAGGTCACACAGCTAGTAAGTGTCAAGTGTTTGGTCTGAGTCCGGATTTGAACTCAGGTCCTCCTGACTTCAGGGCTGGTGCTCTATCCACTGTGTCACCAAGTTGCCCCTTTGTTTGGTGTCTTGCACGGGAAATTCTGGTTCTGGTATGAACTGAACCAGGTGACTCCTGAGATCTTTTCCAACTTGGAAATTTTATGAAAGTGCTTTCCTCACAAGAAGTCTTATGAGATAAGTACTGCATGTCAGCAAAGCAAATGAAGTTTTATACATAAACAAAATGTTAGGCACAGGAATTCCCAAATTAGGAAACAATGTGTCTACTAATTCAGGCTGAAACAGAAGGAAGATATTTCCAGATTTAATGGCATCTTAATGTAGTGGTTGTTTTCTTTTTTTAATTAATTAATTACTTCATTTTTAGTTTTCAGCATTTGCTTTTATAAGATTTTGAGTTCTAAATTTCCTCCCTCCCCTGCCACCTCCCAAGATGGCATGCAATCTGATATAGTCTATACATGTATGATCATATTAAACATATTTCCCACATTAGTCATGCTGTGAAAGAATAATCAGAACAAAAGGGGAAAACCATGAGAAAGAAAAAAAAAGGAAAAATAGTATGCTTCAATCTGCGTTCAGACTGCATAATTCTTTCTCTGAATGTGGATAGCATTTTCCATCATGAGTCTTTTGGAATTGTCTTAGATCATTGCATTGCTCAGAAGAGCTAATTCTAACAAAGTTAGTCATCAAACAATGTTGCTATTACTGTGTACAGTGTTCTAGTTCTACTCATTTCACTCAGCATCAGTTCATACAAGTGTTTCCAGGTTTTTCGGTTTTTCTGAAGTCCACCTGCTCACCATTTCTTATGGAACATTAGTATCCCATTATATTCATATCCCACA